TTTAATTAATTAATTAATATTAATATTAATATTTTTAATAAAAATTAATTATAAAAAAATATATTTATTTCACTTTTATCTTATATGTTATAAGTCAAAATAGAAAGGCAAAATACCCAAATTCACCCCTAAAGTATAGTGGCAGGGACGGATCCATCATCGAACAAAAAACAGGAACAAATTCACCCACAAAGTTTTCGACTTGGACAAATCATTCTAAATTTAACGTGTGATGTCATTTGACATCAGTAATTCGTTAATTCGCTAACAGATTGCTGACGTCAAATTAACAGATTGCTGATGTCAAATGACGTCACACGTTAAATTTGGGGTGATTTGTCCAAGTCAAATACTTTGTGGGTGGATTTGTCCCCATTTTTTGTTCGAAGGTGGATCTGTCCCTACTACTATACTTTGAGGGTGGATTTGGGTATTCTGCCGAATAGAAAAATCTTCCCTATAAAGCCGTGGAAGTAAAGCCTTACTTAAAAATAATAATAATAATTGGTTTGTTAGTTTGGTTTTAATTCCCAAAAGGTCAAGTAAACAAATCAATTCAATGAGTTAATCTTGAACCATACGTTTGGCCACCAAGCATCGACCTAACCGTTCCCAAGTTCCATGAAAAAAATAAATGCAGTTAAAAAGGCCAACTCCATTTTCAGGAAGACAGAAAATACAAAAGCACAGGCTCCTCCCTCCTTCTGTTGAGTACTCGAAGAAGAACCGCAAATATATTAATGGAAGAAGAGATTGTAAACTTGATAGTTGTGGGGGTGATTTCATGGTCGGTGGCTTTTCTTTTAGTGAGGAAAATCCTCTCCAAACGCTCCTTCGAGTTCTGCAATCGTATTGTCTCCTCAATCCATGCAACTTTGGCTGTAACCTTAGCTTCTCTCACTGTTGAAGATTGGAGCTGCCCCGTTTGTCCCCTGGCTTCCAAATCTTCTCCCAGACAGGTATTTTTTCGTTTTTCCCCTGAAAAGTTTAGATCTTTTTGATCTTGGGTGGGGAAACTGAAAAGTGTTGATGGGTATGTTTGATATGTGAGCAGAGGCAAACATTGGCGATTACAGTCTCTTATCTCATCTATGATCTGATATGTTGCGCCTTCGACAAACGAGTAAATCTTGACAACACAATTCATCATTTGGTCAGCATAATTGGTATCGGAGCAGGCCTTGTTTATGAAAAGGTTAGCACCTTATTTTTCCACTATAAAATTGGTTTCGGGATCTTGCTTGCTTCTTTTCCTTACAAAAGAAGAAATCTTTTGCAGTGTGGATCAGAGCAGGTGGCGGCTCTGTTAATAACAGAGATCTCAAGCCCTTTCCTGCACTTGAGGGAGCTTCTTAAAGAGCTTGGATACAGAGACACTGACCTAAATTTAGCTGCAGATGTCAGTTCTTAACTCTAAGAATTCAATGCTGATTTTACCTTTTTTTTCTTTTTTTCCCCCTTAAAATTTGGAGTTCTCAACGTAATCAAATCTGGGTTTTTCGAACAGATCACATTTGCTATAATATTCTCTGTTGCAAGAATGGTAGGTGGGCCTTATCTCACTTACGTGACTCTAACTGCTGAAAATCCACTCCTAATCAAGGTATGTGATTTCTTATAGTTTTTGAGTTCTAAGTCAACAATTTTGCTTTGCCTTAGTGCTTATTGACCCTCTGTATTTTCTTTCTTTTTTTTAGGCAATGGCTGTGGGATTACAATTGGTGAGTGCTTTCTGGTTCTACAAGATTGCCAGGATGGTGACATACAAGCTGACAAAAAGAACCTCATCGAAACGGGTTGTTTCGATCCCTCTACCTAGAGAAAAACTGAATTAAGTTTGGCAGGGGAAGATAAAGTTAGAAGAATGAATATAGCTGCAATCATTATCGATCTGGTAACCCAGTTGTATTGAATATTGACATTTCAGGTGGTCGGGGACAAGGATTGAATGCAATGGTATGATGGAGTTCGTTTCTATCGTGGAACTGCTAATTTCTTGTAAAGAATGCATCTGCGCGCCCTTCAATCTTAATTTCTTGCCTTTTTTTTTAGTTATCTTCCCCTCATAACAAAATATATTATTCCTTAGGAGAAAATAATTTTACAGTCAAGTTTATATTAAATTGTAAAATATTTATTATTAATAAAAAAATAAATCAACTTATATTTAAAAATTTACCCCTTCACCAATGATTATATATATATAATAATGTTTGTTAGTGCCAATCATGAATATTTATAAGCTGGTACTTGGCAAAGTGGAAGTTAGAGGTCGACTTGGTATTAATTCCATTGTTGAAACATGATACCTTTAATTCGGAGACCCCAAAATTGACTGGGAACCGAATTGATGTCGACTTTCCAAGTGCAACCCCAAATTTGTATTTACTGCCCCATAATGTAGGTCCATTAGTCTAACAAGTACAAGGCAATTTAGCAAATAAACTGCTCAGGGCTGTTTAGTACAATTTGTTGGAGATTTTACTTTTTTGATATTATATATAAGTGATAAATTTAAATTTTTATTAAAAAAAATTTAAAATTTACTTTTAGAGATAAAAAAAAAAGAGTAATAAGGAAGTTAATTAAAAATTTTGAATTTAAAGTTTTTAATCTTTTACTATTTATGGTCTTTTTAAAATTAAAAAAAAATTAAAATATAAATTTTTATGAAAAAAATTTATATTTATGAAACATAAATAATATTAAAAAACTGAAGTACTTAAAAAACTGCACCAAACGAACTTTCAATTTTTTTTTTGTTTTTTTTGTTTTTATTTTAATACAATGGGTGACAATTTTTTTTTTTAATTTAATAATTTACTCAACTCGTATATAAGATAATTTAATTCAATCTGTAATTGTTGGTAATTTGAGTAAGCATGCGGGTAAGA